TCCCTCACCCTCTGTTAATTTTCTCTCTTAATCTGGCTAGTGCTGTGAGTGGGGTGTTGCAGTCCTTCTCTGTTGAAATATTGCTATATCTATCTCTTTCTTCAGACCTAGTAATATTCATTTTGTTAATCTGGAAGCCCTAATATTGACACACACACGCACACACATATCTATCTCCATCCTTTTCCGGAATTGATCCCCTTATCATTATGACCTTCATTGTCTTTTCTTTTCCTTTTTTTTTTTTTTTTAAACTGGTTTTGACTTAAAGACTTTTATTATCTCTTTCTTTGTAAGTACAGCTATGCCTGCTTGCTTTGGTTGCCATTTGCATGGAATATCTTTTTTCATACAGTTACTTAAGTCTGTTATGTCTTATATATTTCGTATTATAATACCTTATGTATAGTAGTTACATATATTAATTTGAAAGAATTAATAGTACATATTAGTAGTTTTATCTCTTTTGCTCTTTTGGTAGAATACTGATGGAGTTCTTAAGTTTGGTTGCTTTTTTCATCCTTTATTGTTATTTTTTTCTCTTTTTTGTCTGATTAGATTATTTCAAGAGACTTGTCTTTAAGCTCTGAGGTTCATTCTTTAGCAAGGTGTAGTCTATTATTGATGCTTTCAAATGTATTTTGTATTTCCATTAATGAGTTTTTCAGTTTCAGTGTTTCTATTTTCTTTTTTGTGTGTGTTTCAAAGATATCTCCTTGATACATGTTTTACACATATTCTGACTTGATTTTCTGATTTCTTTATATTGTTTTCCAGATTTCTTTTGCATCTCATTGAGCTTTTTTAACATCAATAGTTTGAATTCCTTGGCATTTTGAGGAGTTCTTTTTGATTCAAGGCAATTACTGGGCATTAGTTGTGGTGGTGTCACATTTTCTTACATTTTCATGTTTTCCCTGTCTTTCTGTTGATGTCGGCCCATCTAAAGTAGCAGTCACTTCTGCCATTGTTTTGAAACTGATTTTACAGGGAAGACTGTTTTTGTCTGAAGATGCATATAGTGGAGTTGAGTAGCACACTTTGGATTTGATTTGGGGTACCAGTAGTAGTGTGATCTTTATATAACTTCCTTAGTACATGGGGTCAGTGCTATGTGTGATTTTCTTGGTGGTTTAGGTACGCTTATTAATTAAAAACTGGGGACTTGGATGCTAGTCTTCAGGTCCCTGGTGGCAGCAGTTAAAACATTGTTTAAAATGTATCTTACATGAATTTTTAAGAACGAATTCAAATCATCAGATAAATTAGAAAAGTAAAATGTGTAGTAAGCAGTATAGAAAGTATCAAAGTGTTTATTTACATTTAACTTAATTTAAAACATTTAAAAATTGACAAAATTATTTTATACATATAACTATTTTGAAAATGGGTTTTTTGAATCTTATAATATATAGCCCCTTTAATAAATGTCTTTAAATTCAAAAGAATACTCTGTGTGAGACACTTATTTCTGAAAGTAAATAATGCAGAAACAATGTTTGTGTTTTTTCTATGCACAATTTATTATAATTTGTTATCAAAAATTATTCTTTGTGGCTCGGTGCCTGTGGCTCAAGCAGCTAAGGCGCCAGCCACATACAACTGAGCTGGCGTGTTCAAGTCCAGCCCAGGCTCGCCAAACAATGATGGCTGCAACCAAAAAATAGCCAGACGCTGTGGCAGGTGCCTGTAGTTCCAGCTACTTGGGAGGCTGAGGCAGGAGACTCGCTTGAGCCCAGGAGTTGGAGGTTGCTGTGAGCTGTGATGCCACAGCTCTCTATCCAGGGGGACAGCTTGAGGCTCTGTCTCTAAAAAAAATTATTCTTTGTTAACATCAAAAGCCAATATGTAACAAGCAATCCAGAACGTAGCTATTAGAAAAAATTAAGAATTAAATGTTTTCTGTTTTGAAACTCCTGACACATCTTCAGACCTTTGTGTCAGCTTTTTCCTCTACCTGAAATTCTTTTCCCAGATCTTGTGTAGACTTTTAAAATTATCTACTTCTAGGTAATTTTCTCAAGAGGCCTTCCCTGAAGACTCTATTAATTCTCCCAATATTTCAAACGTTTTCATTATTGTATCTGTTACGGTGATCTGTGACTAGTGATCTTTGATGTTAACTTTTGTAGTTGCTTCGAGGCGCTATGAACCATGCCCATAGAAGACTACACATTTAATTAATAAATGATGTGTGTTGTGTATGACTGCTCCACCAACCTGCTAGTCTCCTTGGGTGTGCTATTCCCTGAGGCACAGTGTTGAAATTAGACTAATTACTAACCCTACAATGGCCTCTTAAGTGTTCAGGTGAAAAGAAGAGTAGCACAACTTCACTTGAAATCAAATGCTACAAATGATTGTTTAGAGAAAAAGGCCTGTCAAAAACCAAAATGGGACAAAAGCTAGGCCTTTTGAACCAAATACTTAGCCAAGTGTGAGTGTGAAGGAAAAGTTCTTGAAAGAAATACAAGTCTACTCCAGGGAGCATACTAGTCTTACTTGTGATAGGAAGAAAATTTGAGTTGTCTCGATTTCTATCCTGGATCCAACTGCAACATTCCCTTAAGCCAATGAATGCCTGGTCCAGAATCAAGGACCTAACTCTCTAAATCCTGCGGAGACTGAGAGAGGTAAGCAAGCTGCAGAAGAAAAGTTGGAAACAAGCAGAGGTTGGTTGATGAAGTTTAAGGAAAGAAGCCATCTCCATAACATAAAAGTGTAAGGTGAAGCAGCAAGTGCTGATGTAGGAGCAGCAGCTAGTAATCCAGAATATCTAGCCAATATCATTTGTAAAGTTTGCTGTGCTGAACAACAGATTTTCAATGTAGATTATACAGCCTTCTAGGAGAAGAACATATCTTCTAGGACTTTCCTAGCTAAAAAGGAGAAGTCAGTGCCTGGCTTCAAAGCCTCAAAGGACAATCTGACTCTTTTGTTAGGGACTAATGTAGCCAGTGGCTTTAAATTGAAGCCAGTGTTCAGTTACCATTCTGAAAATCCTAGGGCCCTTAAGAATCATGCCACATCGGTGTAGATGTGGTGGTTCATACCTGTAATCTCAGCACTTTGGGAGGCTGCGGTGGGGGGATTGCTTGAGGCCAGGATTTTGATACCAGCCTGGGCACACAGTAAGACCCCTGTCTCTACAGAAAAATAAGGAAAATTAGGCATGGTGGTGTGCCTGTAGTCCCAGCCACTCAGGTATGTAAGGCAGAAGGGTTGCTTTATGAGTGAGCTATGATTGGGCTGCTGCAGTCTAGCCCAAGTGACAGAGAAGACCTTGTCTCCAAATAAAAAGAATTATGCTAAATCTGCTTTGCCTGTGCTCTAGAAATGGACAACAGTATATTTATTTAAAGCATGATTTACTGAATTTTTGTGTGTGTGTGCGCGCCTGGGCCAGGTTTGAACCTGCCACCTCTAGTATATGGGGCCAGCACCCTGCTCTTTGAGCCACAGGCGCTGCCCAATTTACTGAATATTTTAAGCTTGCTATTGAGGTCTACAGCTCAGAGTAAATGATTCCTTTTAAAATATTACTGCTCATCAACAATGCTCTTAGCCACACAAGAGTGCTGGTGGAGATGTACACAGAGATTAATTAATGTAGTTTTCATTTCTTCTATTAGTAACACAACATCTGTTTTACGGACTATGTCAAGGAGTAATTTCAATTCTCAGGTTTTATAATTTAAGAAGTATATTTCATTAGACTACAGCTGCCATAGATATTAATTCCTCTGATGAATCTTGGTAAAGTGACAACCTTTTGGAAGGGATTTACCATTCTGGGTGCCATTATGAACATTTATGATTCATGTGAGGTCGTCAAAATATCAACATTAAAAGGAACTTAGAGGAAAATTTCAGCCCTATTATGGATGACTTTGAGGAGTTCAAAACTTCATTGGAGGAAGTAACTGACATATGTGGTGGAAATAGCAAGAAAACTAGAAGTAGATGTGGAGATGGGGCTGAATCGATGTAATCTTATGATAAAACTTGAGAATGAGAAATGGGATGTAACAGTATTAGAACTCAGCTATCACAAACGTCATTTGGACAGACCAGTTTTCTTACGGTTTTGGGAAACATTAGACAGGTAATTCTGAGTCTAAAGTTTGCTTATCTGCTTTATTGTATTAATTTTTCTATCTCAAGTAAATTTTAACTTTCTTTAAATTTTTAAAGCAGAGAATGTGGTTTCTTTTCTTTTTTTTTTTTTTCCATTTTTCTTAAGTTACTTATTTGAAGGATTGACTTCAATTTTGAAAGAAGTTCTCCTGCGGATAAAATGTTGTCAGATAGCATCACATGCTGCAGAGAAATACTTTGTATAATGAAAAGTCAATGTGGCAGACTTTATTGTTTTCTTATATTAAGACATTGGCACAACTAAGCCAGCCTTCAGCATCACCCTAATCATTAAGCACCCATTAACACTGAGGCATGACCCACTGCCTCAGTAATATGATTACTACTTGCATGAAGGCTCAGATAATTGTGTAATGTAAGCATAACTTTTATATGCATCGTGAAACCAAAAAAAAGTTGTATCTTACTTTATTGTGTTACTGGCTTTAATGTACTGGTCTGGAACTGAACCAGCAATAATCTCTTGAGATTTGCTTACCCTTTTGTTTTTCTGTGATATGCTACTATCCTTATCATACTGTACTATTTGAATAGTCTTTTTCTCACTACCGGTATCCTTTACCAGATCCATATGCATTGTATCTTTTATTCATCATATAAACTCTCACTGAATGTTTATTGAATGTTTTTAAGATACTGTAGTGTTTTGCATCTATTTAACCAAAATCCACTGTAGTTATAATATAGCTTTATCCAGTGGAACAAAGTGGTTTTTGGTATTGTTTTTTAGGTTTCTGGTTAACATCTGGATTGCAGTTTTAAAATTTTTTCTACAAAATGTTTGTCATGATTTTGATTTTAGCTTGACTAAAAAAAAGTCTCCTGCCCCCTCCCCCATATAGTTAAAGCCTTCCATCTCAAGTATGATGAAGTTCGTCTAGATCCCAACGTTCAGAAATGGGATGTAACAGTATTAGAACTCAGCTATCACAAACGTCATTTGGACAGACCAGTTTTCTTACGGTTTTGGGAAACATTAGACAGGTAAGTCTGAGTCTAAAGTTTGCTTATCTGCTTTATTGTAGTAATTTTTCTATCTCAAGTAAATTTTAACTTTCTTTAAGTTGTAAACTTTGTTTACCAGTTCCTTTCTTTGAACATGCATCTAATTTGATGCTAATGAATTAGCATATGTCTTTGATATATTTATTTTAGAAATAAAGTATTTATATCCTGGTGGAAGGAGCACAAAACTGAGTCAGAAACCTAGATTTTAGGTCTTGGTTTTGTGATCTGGTTCTAATGAACTGTGTGACCCCTTTGGACCTTATTTTCTATCTATTCAATGAAACTTGGTTTAAGTGATCCCTAAGTTTTTTACAAGTGCTGGAAGATTTTGGATTTGAAAGGAATTCAATTTTAAAATTTATTTTAATTGCTATCATAAATAAAGTTCTTAACAGCCCTTACTTTAATAACAGTTTGTAATTGGCTTTGAAGAACAATATATTGCAATGAATATTACTAAATCTGTTGTTCTTTTTAAGGTGCTCCTTAAAATCTTAAAAGACTCTTTTGGTGTAAGTTGCTCACTGGATATTAGGTTTACTCAAAGTCATAAGTGGTTGAGGTATCCCAATGTAATTACGACTGATAGTATATCAGTATATCATAAAAACATTTACAATTTAGCAAGAGGATTTTTTTCTAGTTTATTTCAGAAGTCCTTATAGTCTCAAAGATTATAGTCTTAAATTTCCAGTTTTTTATAACACAAAACATCCTGTTGTATTGTTGATTTTAAGTTTTTAGAAATATCAGCTTATTTTTATGTGTAATATTCTAATTCTAAAATTCCTGTAGTCATTATAATTATTAATAATGTTTTTAATAACTATTAAAAACTATAATATTATTTTTCAGGTACATGGTAAAGCATAAATCCCACTTGAGATTCTGAGTATTTGCTTCCTCCATTTCTGGAAATCTGGATTAAGAAGCATGGATGTACCTTGATCTAAAGACTGAGACTCAAGCTTTATGAATTTATTAGGAACTTACAAATGAAGAAGGTCATAGATGGATCTTTTATAAGACCTTATTTGATGCTTTGTGCTTCGAAGGGGTGATGCTTGTCATCCATATAAGCAAACTTTTTTGCTTACAACTATTTTTTTAATATTAGCCTTCTAGTCTGTAATGGAAATTGTATATTTTGATAGAAGTTTTTTCTCTATTGGTTAAATTAGCATTACTTAAAATTTGTTTCCTTAGAGAATAAATGCAGGTTATAAGTGTGTGTATATTTAGAGGATATATGGCTCTCTGAGCCATCTTTCTTCTGATTTTTCATTGCTCTATTATTCTTTTTACTGAAAATATGGTGTTATGAATGGTATTAAATTTTAGTCTCTGGAACATCCAAAACCAAGCAAAAGGATGTGACTATTTTGAGTGAATCAAATGTCAACCTGTATGTATACTATATCTACACTTACTCTTTATTTAAAAAAGAATAATGAAAAATCAAGAACAATTCTTCAAATTTTGGTTGAACTGTTCAGCCTTTTCAAGACTTCTAAATGAATACATGTAATGAATGTATATTCTCCTCACTGACTTTGATGATTTTTAAACTTAGAATGATATATTTCTATCTGTGATATCTTTCCACTTGAAAAATCTCAAAACAGATTAAAAACGTAGTAGGCTGTAGTACTTTTTATTGGGGAAGCCATAGTATGATTTGGGGAAAGGAATTATGTGTCAGCCCTATTGCAGTGTAACTTTAACTTATCTTTTCTCATAAGTCCACCTTTGATTCTTATTTTATATGGGATGGGATTTTGAGTCTTCTAATTCTAGGCTTGCTGATCTTGGAGTTCTTATCTTCCATCATCCCTAAATATTGATAAACTCCCAGGCACCAAAGAACACAATTACTTAAGTGTCTGAACAGAAACAAGAAGAAAACACTGGTATTTTTATGTGTGTATTCAATATGGTATAAAATATAAAACCTATATTTTAACTTAGTAAGATATTTTACTATTTCTCTACTTTAGACAGAATATTGCATGCAATGTACAATGAATGACCATTTTCTTTGAGTCTTGATTTCATCTTTTACTACTTGGAAACAACTAGGAACCTTTCCTCTTTCTTAATTGTTTTTGCCATTAGAATTTTTGTTACTCAGTCTTACCTTTTTCTTTAGTTTTTTTCCTCAGTGATTCTCTCGTAGGCTAACATTTTTGGTGAACATTTAGCTCTTTTTTATGTGTTAAGCTGACATTACCTAAACTTCTTCTTGAAATTTAAAGCTATCATAAAAATGAGAGGCAATTATTATTTTTTTAAGTTACCACCAAAGTCCATACATACCAACAGTAAATACTAAAGATATTTGTTCACATGGAATTCACAAGGTTCTTCAGAAGAAAACAGCATTTTAAATTACTCTATTTTACTATATTTATAAGGTTTGAACAGATTCTACTCCCATTTCTTCCTTTCTTCCTGGCATTCCCTCTCCTTGATGATAAAAGAAAATTCAAATTTGTTCACATTACACTTTCTCAGCATATAAATTTGATTTCAAAATAAATTATGTATTGTGTAAACTTTATCCATGATGAAATAGTCAGGACTAGAATCTGTAATATTTTTATGTAAGATTACTTGTTAAGACTACTACAAGTGAACATGAACTACCTTTCCATTGAGATTTTTGGTATTTGTACTTATATATAAAATTTACTTGATACAGAGTATGGTTAAAATTGGGAACATCTACTTTGAACAGGGTTTATTTTTCTATTTTGAATTTGCCTTATGTATATTTAACAGCTTCTGGAGGTACTGTACAGAACATTGGGAAAAGTACAGACGTGCTATATACCATGTATTTTAAAATCAGACCCTTATTATATACTTTTAGGGGGGACACTTTTAGTCCCTTATTTAGGTCCATGTAACTAATTTTATAGCCATTAATTCTTACAAATCAATAATGGAAAACAAAACTTTCACCCAATCACTATCTATTCTTCCATGACTCAGTCCTATAGCAACACCTAACACAGTGCCTTGCACATAGTAGGCATTCAGAAATACTTATATGCATGAATAAATAATGTATTTTCAGTATAACTGATTTATTACAAAAATGTAATTTGATTAATACTTTGTCTTGGAGTTTGAAAATACAGAATTACAGAGAGTGAAGAGGCATAATAGATATTTTAGTGGAAATGAAGAATACATTAATGACTTACCCATAAGTTACCATTATATTATCTTCTTTGCCCCACCTGGAAAGGAAAGCACTAATTCTTTATTCATAGGACACTTACCTGAGTTAGGTCACGTAGGTTTCAGTAAGAAGGTCTCAACCCCAGACTACATGTAGAATCATCTGTGAAGTTTTAAAAGATACCTATGCCTGAATTCTTATTCTGCTTCTGATTTAATTTGTCTGGGATGAGATCTGGACATCAGTATTTTTCATAGTTCTTGGAGTAAATTTTAGTGTGCAGAAAGGATTCAGAATCACTGGTTTGTTATTGAAAATGATACCAGTATTAAATGTTGTTTCCTCCTACCTTCTTCTTCTTTTCTGTGTGTGTATGTGTGTTTGGTTGTCTTTTTTTTTGGCCACCCCTTGCACTAGAACATCCCCATTATTGGTGATATTGGCTTATATTCCCATATGACAAATTCAAATCTTATTTATTTAATATAGAATGAGTATTTTCCTGTTTAATATTTAAACAATGTTTAATATATTTCATTATTAACTAGTATTATAGTTTGTGATTTGTTCCCCATGTGTCCATATCCTTTTCTAACTTTTTGTTTTTAGCAACACAACAGTAATCCATACGGAAACAACAAATCCATATTAAGGAAAATCTGATAATTAAGTTTTAAGGTAGAAAGAAGTAAAGTATTAATTTCATATCTGCCATGCAGAATGAGAGAAACACAAGTTGCTTATGAAAAGAAACAGTCATACTTTTTAATTGATCTACGCTGAAAACTAAAAGTAAACTGTTAATTTAAATGAGATTCATTATCTAATAAACATTGACAGGAATATTTTTCCTGAGTAAAAACTTCGTGACTCTTAACAAATTAAAGTGATAACACTGTTTTTTTCTTTTTTTTTTTGAAGGTATGAGAATGTTTTTTTAAAGTAATATATACTATTAAATTCTTTGAGACTAGCAGTGTACTTTGTAATATTACAAATACAGCAATTACAAAAGCTGGTCCAAATTAATGGTGTGAAAAGTAACTCTAAACTTTGTATTTTGAAATTGCTTATTTAAATGCAAAATAATAACTAAAGTAGATATTTTTTTAAAATTCTTATTTTTAATTTTTTCAGAGAAATTTATTAAAGCCTTCATACTTTTTTTTTTTAAAGATTCTTAAAGGAATTGTTGATCTATGTGGTTAAAGTTCATATAGAATGCTGAGAAGAAGTAATTTATAAAATAAGAACCATAGAAATTTGTTCTCAATTGAAAAGTTGGCAGCTGCTGTTTTCTAAAAAATAAAAAAGGACAACATGAAAACTAGTTACATTAGCTTTAATATTACTTGACTGAATTTCCACTGTTTATTTACTTCTGTTTGAGAGTCACCTAGTTATCCTAATGATAGTATATTAACTTTAGAAATAAAAGGGGGAAAATCACTAAATTTGACTTAAATTAAGAATTAATTAGGAACGTTGAAGTCCTATATATTCTGGCATATTCATTTGGAAGTGTATTTGCCCCAGCATTTTTTTTATATATGTTGGAATAATTACTAAGGAAAAATTGAAAATGTATAATAGATGTATAAAGAATTATGTTTAGTAAATACATAACAGGTTTGGGTTTGTGTGTATTATTTTAGGTAGTGTTTACAAGAATATTTTGAAAGTTTTAAATATGTGCCATTTATTGAAAAGCAGTAAGCATTTTTTATGTGTATAGCTAATAAAATAAAACTAGTTTATTGCCAAAATTTAAAAAGTGGGATTATACTATGTCAAATTTAAGCAAATTATCCATCTCTCCAAGGATTTTTGTTTGCCATTGAATTCTGTTTTTATCCACTTCAAATTTAGTAAAAGCTGCTTAACCTCCAAGTTTAATTATAGTGCTTAATAAATAATGCAGTTCACATATGTGTAGGCACTATAAATGCTTATTTAACTACCAATTGGTACTATTTTTCAAGCAAAGTGGTTCTTGAATAGAGCTTAAGGTTTGGGCGGTGTGTGACTTTGATAAAATATTCTCATTCTGATTCCATTCTGGTGGATTTTTAAATCTTAGGTTTAATTGTAAATAAAACATTTTGTAGTACTTAATATTAAGAATCTTAGGGACATTTCTACCATCTCCTTGTCCTCAACCAAAAAGCTACTTATACAAAGAAGGCAGAAGCTGTATTGTGGACTGGAACGCCATCTTTATATGATGTGAATCTTGAGATTTATCAGGCATAGTTTTCTTGGTTTTGGAAATAAATGAAATGTAAGTTTTCACTTTGAAAATAATGAGTTAAATCCATTTATGGTCTCTATTAGTTAAATAATGTGGAGAATCATTCATAAAGAACAGCAAGCTTTGCATGCTTTGCTGAACTGAGTTCGATTATGGTCAAATTTACTGTATGAGAATTAAGAATGTGTCATGGTAAATTACATTATCTTTACAGTTTGAGCATCCCGATTTTAAACATTTTACAGTTTCAAAACAAACTGTACTCACACAGTCAAATCTTTAGCAGGAGCATCTTACCATTGGTACCAAAAGTTGTGAATCTGATGCTATAACAGTTCTTTAATGAAGAATTTAATGGGCTGTATTCAAGCTTAATTTTCATTCAATTCATAAGTGCCCACTAAGTATGTATTTTATTCTGCTGTTCCTTTGATCATCTGCTCTTGGGTGAGCATCCACATAACTGAAATAGATATAGCATAAGTTGTAAATGCTGTTCAGGTCCTTAAGTCTCAAAGGTGCTGGTATATAAATAACAGCACATTGCCAAATAAATTTTTTTCCCTTTCATTTTCTAAATCACTTTTCTTTTATATTTAATCATGTAATGATCGGCATTTATGGTGAGTCAGAAGAGTGTTTCCTCTTAATTTTCTTAACCATAGAAAACATTATAACAAAGTTCTGGAAAAAGCTATGTTTTTGAATCTAACGTTTATACTTCCTTTGACACAGGATTATTTATAGTTACAATTCACACCATTATTGAGAGAAGACTGATTTATATTACATAACTAATGTAAGTAGGGCTGAGTCCATAGTGAAGCAGGATTCTTTTTATCACATTTAGATATTTTATTTGTGCTTTCTTTGCAAACAAATTCTAAGTGGAAACACTGGGTTATACAGCATTCACTGTGATAATATGTAATAATGTATACTTATAGAACTGCCTTCGTAAACTTTACAGTGTTAAAACTGTAAATGTAATAATGGCATCTCTTTTTAAAATTGACAAATGATAAAAATTTTTAATTGTAATGGAAGAATTTGAAAGTGTTTTTTCAGCCTGTGTGTATAATGGTTGGGGAAGACCAAGTGAGCTGCTTTGTGTGTCATTTAATTGTTTTAGCACAACTGAGTGTCACTGATGTGTATGGTGGTTTTGACTATAAAAGAGCTTCAACATATTTGTA